GCGGGAATACAACAATATGTTTGGGATGTAGCGGGGCGCCGGCTCGCGCAAGTGACAGCACACCGCAATATGGATCCGGGCCATCCACAGAATGATTGTTGACTTCTGGGTGCGGTTACGCTCTTTCACTGCATTAAGCCGACCTAAGCGCGGTTGGAACATAGCTGGACCTTACCACCTTTTTCATGGGTAGTAGCGGACAATTTTCTTTGCAGGGTCCCGCGCGCAGACGAAGGTGATCGGTAATTCCAGCCCTGGGTGGTTTTTCAGACACAGCTTGATAGGAAGGCTGTCCCGTGTGTATTTGGCCGCACTTCTTCACGTCGAGGCAACACTAGTACGCCTGCATTTATAGGCATGAGTTTGTCAATCATAGGGGAGCCATATTGGCATCCTGGCAAAATGGCAAAATCCCCCTATTGGCATCAGTGCTAGTCCAGTCGTAGTCGTAGCCGAGCTTGCTGAGGTGTTGTGCATGTCGGTACTGACCACTTGTCCTTCCTTTCTAGGCCTGTGTCTATCATAGCGACAGGCGATGTGGCCTTTGGCTCGTTCTTTCTTTTCCTTACGGTTTAAAAACTTGGTAGCCCGCTGTAATAGCCAGAACAAGTACCTGCAACTAGTTGGGGGTGGTGACCGGGAGTCAGTGTGCTCAAGACAGGCTGTCTGTTCGTAGCCAACGCGTTTGACAGTGCTGCCAAGGCTTGGTATGATAAATGGTCCACGGCACGGTCCTCTTTTTTAGTCTGACGAACTGTTTCCCGTATTACTCGCCCGCTTTGCCCTGGAGATTTTGCCCCGCGATATGGAAGCGCACGCCGTTCCCGCTAGTGGGTCATATCGCATGCGCTCTGGCAAGTTCGTCTATCCTTGTCAGTCGCGTTTCGAGGCACTACTCACTCCTATCTCAGGCCTTTCTGAAGGAGGTGAAATTTCCTGGTTTCAGCGCGGTCTTTTGGAGGAACTGGGTTGGTGAATATGCTACCGATCTCTTGGGCGTTCCATTCACTTCCTACAGCCACATCCCGCGTTTCACGCTGGGTACTGAAATGCGCCCTCTTGCCCGAAAGCAAGCTGTTCGTTCTGCCCCCCATGCTAATGCCCTTGTTTCTCAGCCCCCGGAGCTGGACCCCGCAGGCGACCCTGCTGAGGCGCCCGCACCCGCCCCTCGCGTCGCCGCCGCTGTGGGAGGTTCGGATCGCAGGGAAGGCGACACTGATGCAGCGTCGGGTGCTGGTAAGCCTGGGGGGACCTGCCAGGGCCAGCGCCAGTGACAGCGAAAACAGCCTAGGACGGATGCGGGACCTCCCACAGCCGAGGCTAGCAATCAGTCGGGCCAGAAGCGCAAGTGTGACGATGAATAGTGGTTGGATAGGTATTGCTGTACACGGACGGAGCTTAACGAACGACAGAAGAGGAGGAAGTGCCTGCGCTGTGGGATGGGCATCCGACGGGGACCTGCCCTCAGTGGCCCAACCAGAAGTTGGGGGCTGCCCAGGTCTCTGTGGAGGGGATTCTGGCTGGGTTGGACTTAGAGACCGAGCTACCGCTGTTTCCTGCCAAGGGGGCTTCCAGGGCACTGTTGCCCTCCGTCTTCGCACAGGTTGAACGCCGGTTGTGGACCGCCGCCGGTTGTGGATGAAAACTGTCCTTTGCTGACCGTTCTGCGAAGAGTGACTTTGACGCTTTGTGTAATTTACTTGTGCCGCGTTCTCAGTCTCTCTCTGCTGACGACCTGCGCGGACATACGGTTCTCTTTCTCCTTTTTCGGAATTGCAGGCGAACCTAATTACGTACCATCTCTGCAAGCGTCAGCATGACATTCGGGAACTGCAGCGTGTATCCTTAATCCTTCGCATCCTGCTTGAATGATTTTGGCTTTTCTTGTCTTGCTAGAATGCAGCGCTTTTTGCTGTAAGTCCAGGAACGTTGTTGTTTAACGGATTCGATCTGGAAGGTAGATGTGCTCTGATGTGCCGCTTTCTGGGTTGCCTGATTGTCTACCTGGACAATATTCTTGTACTCTTTTAATCTTTATCCTGTCCTCCAGGTACAATGCCGCGAAAAGCTGTACGCAAAACTTGCAAAGCGTCATTGGTTGTAACCCCAGGTGGAGTATCTCGGCCACATCGTCTCTGCTGACGGTATTCGTATGAATCCCGTAAAACCGCTGCGTTACGGGATTGGCTGGCGCCCACCTCTGCAGGAATTTCGTAACTCTCTGGGGTTGACTAATTTTATTTTCACGACTAATTTATCGCGCGGTTGACTAGTTTATTGCGCGGTTGACCAATTTATTGCGCAGTATTCTGTTATCGCTGCGCCCTTGACCAATCTGACTCGTACGGGAGCGTTTTCGTCGCCTGCCGCGTGGACGTCTTTACGGTTCCCGTGCTGTGTTCCGATGCTGTTCCGGTGCTGTGCAGCAAGGCCGTCCTGTGGCTTTTATGAGTAGGAGGTTCTCGGGCGCTGAAACCCGAGAGGGCAATATCTATACGCCTAAAAGCCAAGGAGAAAAGGAACACTCATGTATCAGAGGATGGTAACAGCAGTAGTAGGACCCCGCGGGAGGTCCGGCGCTTTGCTATTCTTAACACCTCCTTTCCCATTTCCATGACGGACCGTTAATGGGGCGCCCTGGCTGCACACGGATGGTAGAATTTCTTCAGCGTTCTTTCTGGTGGCCTCGGATGGCTAAGGATGCAGAGAATTACGTCCTTTCCGGCAATTCGTGCCAGCGCAACAAGTCTATCTCTGGTAAGCCTCATGGACTGCTACAGCCTTTGCCTGTCCCTGCGGCCCCTTGGGAGAGTGTGTCCATGAACTGCATTGTTGCGCTGCCCAAAACTGAGGGGGAATGCGACGCGGTGCTGTTTTTGGTTGACCGCCTGACAAAAATGGTTCACCTTGCACCCACCATGTAACCCTGCAGATCACACTGTGCGTTTGTTCTTTGATTTTCAACGTTGTGCGTCTGCACGGCGCTCCCACGAATGTCGTGTCTGATCGCGGTAGTCAATTTACTAGTAAATTCTGGGACACCCTGGGGAAGTTGGTAGGCATGCGGGTAAACCTCTCTACTGCTTATCACCCCCAGTCTGACGGTCAGACCAAGTGTACTAATCGAACCCTAGGCGACATGTTCGCGGGTCGTACGGCTCCTGCGTGTCACACCTATGTGACGGCGGCCGAATAGCGTAAAGCGGCGTAACACAACATGCCTGACCTCCCAGACTTCCGAGAGGCACATGGCCAACCTAGTCTTACAGGTATGGGGTCACGCACCCCCAACCATGTAACACACACACACACACACATGGCCAACCTAGCTGGATTCCGGCTTGAAGACGGGCCCACCAACCCAATTGCGCAGTGTAAAGCCCGCCAGGCCGGCAATCAAAAGGAAGTTGTATGGAAGCGGCTTTGATTGGTGGGCAAAGTGGGCTAGCCTGGAAAGGGGTTCTGTCCGGCAAATGTACAATAGCCTTTTTACCGCTGACCTTACACCGCTCACCTTAGACCTCGTCTATCCCCTCATAACCCGCTGACGTCTTACCTGGAAACATAGCGCGCAACTTCAATGTTAATCCAAGCTTCCCTTCTCCCGTATATTACGTTGGAGCAGACGGACCTTAACTCGTAGCCGTTAGATTACGATCTCTGTTGAAGTCCGTCAGGGGCATGAACCCGAATTCGAGCAGATTTATGTTTGGGGAATTTTTGATCCCATCACGTATCTAGGCATGTCAGGAAACGTGGAGCGCAGCTTTGGCCGTAACTGACCCATGAAGATTCTAATGCATGTTTACCCCTCGACAAGCCCCCTGTGCCTCAACAGGATCACATCCTTTTTTTATGGTTATGCCCCATCCCCAAAATTTCTAAATTAGCAGCTCGGATAAAGTCCAAATAATCTACTCAGCGCTTGTCAGCGAAGGTACCTCCGAACTTTTCGGGCGTCAGTTTGAAAGCCAGCCAGCGCAACGACAGGTTCATTTGAAGTTTCGGACCGACCCGAAAGTCAAACCAAAATGATTAGGTACCCCGGTGCGGAACCCTGGCAATGCAAGGGTTTGCTCTGATGAGGGCTTGGTCATACTTGCTCCGTCATTCGCTTCCACAACTATGCGTCGTTTTTCCTGTACTATTACTGTTTTGCGTGCTTTAGATTCCATTCCGTGCTTACAACTATCGGTCCTGTTATATCGGTCCCTATCCCCCCAAACATTCTGGATGGACCGGTTGGTACCTACCATCTATTGAATTTGCTTATATGGAAGCTGCTCAAGTTTCATTGCATATAAACCTTCATTACAATTATGCCAGCGCGAAGTAATTTGGTCTTGAAGTAGCTGCGCAACGCAGCATAAGGAGCTTCATACGTAGTAACCGTCAGAAACATTACATTACATGTGAGAATATCATATATTTTTGCAGTAGTGTGATATTCGAGCAAACGAAATTGTTAAATCTAGCGTGGCAGTCGGCTGATTGCGGACGGCAAGGTGTCGTGGGCGGTTGGTCATCCCCAAGCAATAGAACTCTCAAAAGCAGGAAGTAGGGTGTTTACATATTTCTAGGGCTGAAGCAATACTGCAATCCACAGAAACTGTCGCAAAATTTGACACAGATGCTCTACGGGTAGCATGCCCGTTGAAAAACGTTCCGTTCCGCCAGTTTAACCGTATGATGTAATGGGCCTAGAGAAGCTGCAGCCTCTCTAGCTGGCCTTTTCGAACCTCTTTGTCTGACAGCAACTTGTTAACAGCGAGCAGGTTGACAGGAAGCAGCCAGAACTGCGATGCAGGGCATTAAGCGTATTAACTGCAGGCTGGAGTGATACTTCATAGCCAATCGATCCGAACCTTGGACAGAGTCCGAACGCCATCGTCATCCGTACTTTGTCGTGTACGTCCTAACTGACATCATTGATGTTTTAAGGGAGGAATTTTAGGACAAGGCCTGTAAACATAAAAAGCAACAAACAAGCCTGTTCAAGGCTCATTGAGGACGGCGGCAGCCGAAAGCCAGCCACGGCTGTCTATTCGACAAGAGCCATGGGCGTCCGAGAAAACTGTTGGAAGGCATTAAGGATTGTCGCCGTTCTGGGGATTTCCTTATATTGCACGCGGCATGCCCTCGCCAATACAGGTTTGTTACAGTGCGGGCGTGGGCGCTTATATGGGCTGGCTCTCAGACTCTTCTACGAATTCCTTGCTTTTGGAAAAGCGTTTCGACGGTGTTTAACGTTCTACTTCAATGCAATCATATTGATGTTTTCCTCTTCTGGTCATAGGTAGGAACTAAGTGTGGCGGCTAGCTACTTGTCACAAGCCTGCTTCTTGCGCCTTTCGCTGCTTGTAAAGGTTACACTCATGAATGCTAAATCAATTTGAAAGATGAAGTCCAGCATTTGTATCTTTGTGCATCCACCCGTGCCGCCGTTTCGCACAGCTGTATGTCCTTGCACGTTTCAGTCGCTTGGTAGTCCTTAAATGCTCCAGCGCACTACCGGGACTGTCATCCGTTGTCCGCATAAATAATCACTATCCATGTTCTTGCTGCAGATGGGTTGTCGTTACGACTGGTGGGCGGAAGCTCACCAAACGAGGGCCGCGTTGAGGTTTACGTAGGCAAAACCTGGGGCACTGTATGGTAAGCAATGAGAATAGTCGGAAAGCCTTAGATAGATAGCGAGGGTCGGATAGCAACGATACGATAAAAAAAGGGTTTAGCGACGTTACAGCGGACGTGCGGATGGCAGCTAGGAGCGTGCGCTTCCCACCTCACTACGTGCGCGCATCTAGCCCTCCTAGCCTTGGCATCAGGCTGGCATTGCAGCTTGCTGACCTGGTTATTGCATTATATGTAAATGTTTGTAAACGAAACAGATGCATGTAGCGACGGGTGCACGTAGCCATGCTTTGCTTGGTGAGACGCGCGATACGCCTCACCAACGCGTAAGGTAGCTAGCGCTACGAGGAATCCCTCGGATGCTCGGACGGCTAATTCCTCCACACATGCAACTAGCACCTACACATGGGAACATATCACCGCTTTTGTTTGTTTGCCTACCTCTCCCCGCCCCCAGTGACGACAACTTCGGCGATGCCGCGGCTTCTGTCGTCTGCCGCCAGCTGGGTTACGCTGGGGGTGTTGCGGTCTATCAATACCGCGATGCCCCTTGGGCCCCAGGAAGCGGACCTATCTTCATGGTACGCTACGAAGGGATAAGAGTCACCTGCAGACGCAGTCAGCAAACCAGGCATTTGCTCTCATCACTTTGTCGTTATTGGTGAACGCGCAGGACAACGTTGACTGCCAGGCCTCATTAAGAGGCGCTCCAGCGTACTTGTGGGACTGCCGGTTCAATGGCTGGGGTGTGCACGACTGCACACATATCGAGGTGCGATGGTTCTAGATGGTGGCTCCATGCCGTGTGTAGTTGGAGGAATCTTTTACACGTTGCAGCAACACAAGCTGCGTACAACTCGGAGCCCCGAAAACCTCGATCTTGCGTTAAACTCTTTGTTGTGAGTCTGCAATGCTTTGTTTCGTGCTTCTGACATGACCAAGTCTGGCCTGCACTTCCACTTTGTGGTTTTGCTCCTTGCTGCTCGTCCAGGACGTCGGTGTGCGGTGTTACGAGGATGCGCCTCCACCACCACCGCCTGCAGGTAGGTCGCGATCGCGACTGGTCATCGAACTACTGATTACCGCAATGAAGTGTCGCATGGCTTTGCAGTACATGCTAATTGCCAGAGTTGCTTGGCTCATGAGCCTCTTGCTTAGGTTCGTTTGGGGCCTACAAGCTGTGGAGCTTGTGACAAACAAGTCCGAAGAATCCGTGGACGCCAGATTCGTATATTAACACCTCGGAGTGTTGTGAATCGGAAGTTATTCGGGTCAGACCTCTCTACTGCTGTCTTGAGTTCTATTTGTCGTACTTACGGATCTGTACTTTGGTTCCTTTAAGTGGCGGCGGGAAGACACATTCGCTAGTTGCAAGTGCAGACCACGCTCCGAGCTTAAGTAGCCGTATAGCGTAAGGCACAGAGCAGCTCGTAAGTTTATAACACGGAGCCGATCCAGTATATATTATTCAAGGCTAGCCAGCCCGAGAAGACAAACCATAAAACATTTAATACGGGCGTGCGGGCATTTGCCGGCGCCATTCCTTTGGATGTGGAAGTCACTTAATTGACGAGGTGTAGTAGCTGGCCGCTGGAAAGGCCTCCCGATATGCTGGTCAAGCGCTTCGCGAGTATTTAAAGTTGTTATGTGTGCCGTACAGTGTATCAGCTACTACACGTGGCCCGATGGCCCTACCCTGGGGTATTCCCTTGGGGTCTGGGGCTCGCTGTATACTACTAAAATTGACGGTTAACACTGATGGAAAAGGTTGTCAATAGTTGATGCTCTAAAACGGGGGATGCCGTGGAGAGCTCCTGCAAAACCTTAAAACCCAACAAACTTATTACGATGTTTCCGTACTATCGTCCAAAAACTAGCCTTCTCTTCAAAGAGAAGTCTGAGCTTGGTGTACCTTGCCGTGTATGTGCATGCATATCTACCTCGCTGGCTTGCAACAGCTAGCCAGCTGTCCAACAGTCCAAGCACTCCTGTCCTTGGTGCATAGGGCACGACCACCTCCTGCCTTCACCAGGACATGCAACCCTTGCATAATGCTATGTCCTTCCGCAGATTACAAGATAAGGCTGGTGGGCGGAAACTCGGAGAACGAGGGCCGCGTCGAGGTGTACAAAGATGGCGTTTGGGGCACCGTATGGTACGTTCAAAACATGAACCATGAACCTGAAGCGCTGTAGGGGGTGAGGTGTAGGGAGGGGGTAGCCGGTCCGTAATAATTTCTCTACCCCAATTAGGCGGGGACTTGGTAGCGTAGCGAGGCCGTAAACTGGCTGGGAGGAGCCACAATCCGGCTTACATATCACTGCATCGTTTTTTCAACCCCCACTTCCCCCCCAGCGATGACTTCTTCACCAATCTGGAGGCCACTGTCGTGTGTCGCCAGCTGGGATATGAATCGGGTGTTTTCCGATACGGCAGCTATGCAATTTGGGGTTCTGGAAGCGGACCTATCCTCATGGTGAGTTGTTCTTGCCAAACAAGGTCATAATCAGCAGCAGCATTTCCAACCTTCCTGCATGAGCGAATCCTCTTGGGATGAGGTAGTAGCTGTAGATAGTACTGCACACACATCGTCTATAAACACTCGCTAAGCCGCTCTGCCAGCATATCTTCAGAGGCCTTTTTCGCAGCCAACTAGTAGAGACGATGATCAGGCAGCGGACACATATCGAAATTGGCTTCTTCACCCAGCGAGCACGTAGCTGAGGAAAAGGCTGTATCACCCGCATTACTGGTGGTGTCCGACATCCGCTGCCTGGCTAGCACGGGCCATCCCGAACCTTGTGCAAAGGGTCAGCACCGCTGGCTGGTGCCCAGGGAACAGTCCCGTTAGCTCCACCTAGACCATAGCGTTTTTGCACCTATATACACCGCTTTAGCGTCCATCAAAGGAAGCTCTATGAAATAGACAAACCCTGACAAACCCGTCAAGTGCCACCTCATTTCGCTGGTCGCGCGCACTGAACACCTATGGATGGCGATGGACTCAGTCATAGTGACCTTCGAGCTATGGGTGGATTGAGCTCTATCCCATATCTGCCAGATTTACGGATTGCTGGTGGTGGGTGCTAAACCCGAACAAGCCACTAATATCGAAGTATTCGGCATGTATGAGAAGGATGGGGGAGCACCGTAACCTCGCTCGGGAATCGTTGGAACTACCCGGCTAGTGGCAACGGGTGAAGCTATACCCTCTGAACATAAAGTGCTCAAGGTACCATCCTTCCAAACGGCTTAAGAAAGTTGGCGTCCGCCAACTCTCTTAGTCCCCTCAATGAGTTAATTAATACTCTAGCACTCCAACCCAACTGAGGCAATAATTGAGCTGGTCAGGTGGCTCCCTTTAAAGATCCAACCTCACGGCCACGAGCATGAGGCCTTGATTGTAGGGTGCATGTTGAGGGCTTCAGATGAGGCCATGTTTCGCCCTCTCATGCATATCTCCCGCCAGGACGACGTGGCTTGCAGGTTCGAAATTGATGGTTCCCTTCCGTCAAACTTGTGGGATTGCTATTTCGGAGGATGGGGCCAGCACAACTGCAATCATGAAGAGGTGAGTGAATTTAACTTGCGGTCCTTGGCCTCGAGAACGAGAAGACAGCGCCGGTCTGTATACATAGACTGCTTACTTGGCTTCTTTCGAGGCGCGCCCACGTAGGGCAGGCCCCTTTCCCAACCAGGTCGGGGCAAGCTGTCTTGTCATAAGTGCACCGGACCTGCGCTTGGGGAACGGAAGAGGAAATGGGTCGTGTACATTAGTTGCCGAGGGAAGTAAGAGCGACTGGATTTGCTCAGCCTGCTAGTACATGCATGCCATAAACCATTTACCCCATGGGCTGTGACATCCGAGTCCGGGACGAGTCCGGATGCCTTGTGTACGCCATTATTGTCAGGCGGATGACGTCATGCTGCATACGGTAGAACGAGCTAGTCTTGGGGACCTGGCACGGGATCACCCGTTTGATACTACCTACCTACCTACCTACCTACCTACCTACCTACCTACCTACCTACCTACCTACCTACCTACCTACCTACCTACCTACCTACCTACCTACCTACCTACCTACCTACAAATCAACTAACCCACCATTACCTATCTTTCTCTACCTAGCTACATACCTGCCAACGCACCTAACAATCTGCACAGTAAGCTGTCTAACACCCTGCATCCGCGATCGGCTGGCGGTTTTGGTCATCCGCAGGATGTGGGTGTGGTTTGCGGCTCCAACAATTCACCTACAGACAACGCACCTCCGCTGCCGCAGCCGCCGCCCCCACCGCCCCCACCTCCACCTCCACCCCTACCCGCCCAAGGTATACAGTAACCCACAAGGCTTTAAGCTCCTTTTCCATGGTAGATGTTTTTGGGCGGGGCCCCAGCGCGAAGCGCGTCAGAGGAGCCCCGCCCTGTAGGATTGGCCCCCGCCGTGTGGCCGTGTTTAACGACCAAATACAAGATCTCGCTCCGCTAAGGCGCAATATCGAAAGCCGTTAACATTCCATTTGTATGGCATTTCGCCTGTAGCTGACAAAAATTGTATGACACAGACAAGTTTGGCTGCTTCTATGGACCGAGGTTAAGGTCAAATCAACGTTTCTCGCGCTATATTTCGGTCCATACGATGCCGTGTTCCTTCTTGGGCATGCAGTTGACGGCGTCATGCGAGTCAAACATGCGCAACTATCTCTCCGCAACCTGTGCGGTGCCAAAGTCTCGCGCTTCACGATTTGATAAGTGTTTCCCTAGGGGAATGAGATGATCATTTATGCACAAAACTACGCAAAGCTTAGGACCTTCGAGGGGCCGCACCTGCGCAACGCGTCCATCTTCACCTGCCGGCGCTTTGGTGACTGCATGCGTCCACGCCTCCGAAATGTGGCCAGTAAGCTGATACTTCTGGAGCCTTCTGAGATTAAAGGGGTTAAGGTCCCATGCATATGACGCATGCCAGCACGCTAGGCGGCGCGCTTACACTCAGCAATGCGTTTACAAGCCGATTTGTGTATGCACATGGGTGCTTCGTTAACTGCTCATCTGTCTACGTACTTTAGTATCCTAGGCTTGTCACGGGATTTGCATCCGCCGATCGGTACTTTTCTGAAGTCGTGATGTAACACCTCCCCTGCATTCCCCTGCATTGTTCGATCCAGATGGCGACTACCCTGTGCAGCTGGTGGGCGGGAGATCGGCTAACGAGGGCCGCGTTGAGATCTACAAGGATGGCGAATGGGGAACCGTCTGGTACGTGTCTAAGGGTAAAGGATGCATAAAGAGCGAGATGGTAGGTCGCCATCAGTAGCCGAACGGTGCATTCGGATACAACTTGATATCGTGCGAGTTCTCCACATAGCGGATAGGGTGCAGTTTTGGACAGTAATCATTCATGTGTTGCACGTGCTGTGTATGACGGTCCAATGGTTATCGTTGTGCGCATAAGCAACGCTAGCGTTCATATTCCATTTTAGCCAAACTGCTATTTCCTCAACGAACTCACGGCGGGCGGGGGAGATGTCATGAAAACACCGATCAGCGTCCTATGAGCATCTGACAACATATAACAATGTAAGATGGGTTCGGCTCCCTTGCGTGCCCTTTGTCTGGTGTCACAAACAGAGCCAGCCAAACAGGGCTTAACCGCTGCATGCTTACCGCAATCTTACATATTCGTTCTTCTATTATGCAGTGACGACTACTTCGGGAACATGGAAGCCACTGTCGTGTGCCGCCAGCTGGGCTATCAATCGGGCGTGGCAGTGTACTTGTACAACTCCAATAATGCCCGGACCTGGGGACCTGGAAGTGGACCTATCCTCATGGTGTGTCCCACGCCCTGGGATCGATGGAGCGCCTACCTCCTGCCTCCGTGCCTCAGTCATTTCCACATGCGCAGCTCCGTGGGGTTTGAATCCTGCCTAGCTTCCCCACCATCTATCCTCGCTCCTAGCTTGCGGCAGGCCTGCCTAGGGCTTATATATGGTGTATGTAAAGGCCGAGGCATGGATTTTTCTTTTCTTTATCGCGATAAAAAGCACCTATCTATGCTCACTTTGGACGAAGTTGATGAGGTTGCAATTTCTTTATTAATATGCTCTCATGCATGCAGGACGATGTTCAGTGCGAGCTCAAATCAGATGGCACCCTTCCCGAGCGCGTGTGGAATTGCAGATTCAACGGATGGCGCAGACACAACTGCATGCATTCCGAGGTCAGTTGTGTATGCGTGTATTATATGGCTGTAAGACGGTGTACGGCGGTGTTTCTGCGTGTGGAGCGGACAACAACACAGGGGGCAGGCAAGCATTAGGGCGTATACAGGACTCCAACGCAAATGGGCAGGTGTGTCTAGGTGGCTGGGCATAGACCACGATAGACGAGCTAGGTACGTGACGCCTGACGTCCGTGCATCGCGCACCTCCTATCTTCCACTGCTGCTTCATGCGCCCTGTCGTTAGTTAAACCACTAGAAGATTTCAGCCGACGGAGAGGAGAAGCGACAACAAATCCAAAACGCACAGCAGTCGACGTCACTAGCTAGTGCTAGGCCATTCAAGAGAGACAGCCCGGAGAAACTGGCCATGGGATTCCATTGGGCGCGAGCAGGGAGGTAGAATACCAAATTTTGAAGCTTCTGTATCGTTTCTTATCAGTCCATGTGTCCACATCGTGGACAATCATGGCCTTTTGCTTGGATCTGCGTTTATGGGAAGCTAGTCAGGAAGCCGGCGGCAGAGGACATGCGTACACGCACCTGCGTGCATGGTTTGGGTTTGGGCAAAGTCCTTTCTAGCGCTAATGGCGTCCGCATTCCTGCCTATTGTTTGATCCTGTGTGTGGTGAGCATTCAGTACACAATTTTTCCTGTGTTTCGCAGGACGTGGGTGTGAGGTGTAGTAACGACGCCTTGCCACCAATCAATGAGGTTAATACACCATCGCCAGATATGCCGCCGCCACCCCCGCCGCCACCCCCGCCGCCACCCCCGCCGCCACCCCCGCCAATGTCGGACCAGCTGCCGGCGAAAGGTATATCACTGCGCACACTGATATTTACTATGGAGATCTTACCTTGCCCATTTAACCGTACCACACGGTAACCGCATGTACTGCTCCACGCGCTCTGTTGCATACCTGTACACTAGCGAATCGTTGGTAAAACGTTTTGTCGTCTGTAGACAGGGTCATCGTATAATCGTAGATGGGACCGAGAAATAGGTTGTATAGCAGATTCATGGTATAGATTGGACTATAGATTGTGATTGTGCCGTGCATGGCGCTGTGTGTGTATGTGTGTGTGTGTGTGTGTCTCACACCTTGAGTTGCGTTACTCTCCGAAGGCGTACTGGGCCCATACGAGCCGGGGGCCCAAGGGGGGTATCGTTCAGCTAGCTGATGGGTTGGTTGAACAGAATCGCCCAACGGATATACGACTGCCTGCCGATGTAATTGGTATCTCAGCTTCTTCATCCACGGGTGAATGTTAGTGCGCTTTACCCTTGGTCATGGAACCCGCGGTGTAAGGCGGCCCTGTAGTGGTCCCTATTGGGGCCAGAGGAAGCCCTTAGCCTCAAGGTGAGCTCAACATGCCTGTGTCCCATCGCTGGACAGATGGGGGCCACAGCAAAGCTTGGGATAGGCAAAGCTTGTTATGAAATGAACCATTTATGATCTGCGCGTCTGTTTATCTCCCCTGCTTTGTTGGTTCCAGCCTACCCTGTGCGGCTGGTGGGCGGGAGATCGGCTAACGAGGGCCGCGTTGAGATCTTCAAGAATGGCGAATGGGGAACCGTCTGGTACGTATGTCCGGTGTGGGCTATCCGGGGAGGGGTGGTGGAAGGAGACTGACAAGTGGGCATCCAAGGTCATGTTGCTAAATTACTCGTACGTAGCAAATAAACTGCTCGAATGTCATTTTATGGCTTGAAGTGTGCGTGCGCGCAGCCTGCGTGTTGCACTGGGGCACAGTAGCATAGACAACAGCAGCGGCACATGCTTCCCGCCAGCAATCTTATGAGGTACCTTTGGAGCGCTAATATCATCTGTAAATGTTTTCATCGTCTATAGTTTGTGTCCGACAACAGTATTTAGGGACGGTCCTTACCTACATACATATACAAGGGCGCAATCTGTTGATGGGGTGTTACACTGTGGGCGGCTCGTCCCGAGAAAGGGCGAGCACCGGGGGCCCTGACCGGCCGCAGGGGCGGGCGCGCGGCTACGTCCGTCTGTCTGTCTGTTCCTCTGCGTGCACCTCACTCCCTCACTGTAGCAGCTGACCGCTGAAAAGGTCTCTCGAGTTGCTGGCGGTCGCACTCTGTGCGTATTTATAGCACCGTACTGTGTACCGGCTGCTACACTCACTCACGCAATCTATAAACGATGAAAACCTTACAAATAGGGGGGTCCTTGTGAAGCAGCTGCCCGCGTTTCCAAAGCCCGTATGGTGTTGGATTGTAAGTTGCCCAAGTACGTTTGCGAGGAAGAGAATGTGGCCAGGCTGGAGAGGAAAGTGCAGTGGCATATTGGAATGTGAGATTAGCGTAAGCGAGTTACAGGGCGTTTTATTGCACGGGCGAATTTACGTGCAAATCTTTCACCGTAGCATCAGTCCTCAGTTCACTTCTTGGAACGAACATCAGCATGGGGATCCTCAGA